AATTTTCATCTTAAATTCATATTTGAAAAATCAAAAAAATCAAACTAGATATATTAAAAATAAATTGAGGGTGTAATTAATCTCACAGCTCAATCTCATGAAGAGAAAAAAAAAAGGGGGTTTTTTTTTTTTGGCCTAAGAAAAAGTTTTTTAATCAAGATGTTTGAGGATGAATTCCTTAAATAATTTTAATGTGTAGAGTCTCAATCTGATTCTTTCTATATTCCAAAATATTTCTAATCCTCCTGGACAATGATCTTATCCCAATGTTTATGGTCAAGGATTGGTGCATCCTTTCACATACGTACGTACAATCTTTGCAAATCAAAATTGAAACAACAAATAAAATAGATCATATATATAAAACTAAAGACTCACATCTGTGTTTTGAACCTCCTCTTTTATAGAAGCCAGGGTGCCAAATAAAATATGAAAAGAAAAGAAAATAGTTTTGAGGCATGAAACGAAATCACTATAACATCAAAATGTCTCAAAGATACGACGGAAGGAATCAAAATCTTTTCAAAATTGAATAGGAAAGAATGACAAAATAAGTAAATTGTATTTAAAAGTGTTTTGAACCTCCTCTTGTATAGAAGCCATAGTGTCTTTTGGTGCGCATGCTCAAATGGACATGACTATTTGATTAAGTTTGATGAGTTAAATTTATATAGATATTAACATGGAAATTTTTTTTTAATATTATCGATATTTTGATGAATTTTATGAGATTTTACATGATTTTCATTTTTTGTGTAGAAAAAGACTTGAATGCATCAAAAGAGTTTGGGGGATTAATTGAACATCTTTTGAAAATTGAGGGACTGAATTGCAAGAAGAAGGGTGATTCTTTGGGACCTTAATGAATAAATCTTGAGTTTGGGATCTAAATACTCATTGTACAAAAGCTGGAGGACAGATCTGCCATTTTACCATTGAAGAAATTGCAAAATGAGTCTAGAAACTCGACACGAGTGTAGTATCGACACATAATGGGGGAGTCGACACCATGCGTTAATCGTCTAGAATCAAACTTACTATTTCCTGTTTTGTGTCGACACGTAATCTTGTGTATCAGCACCATACGTTCAGCGTCCAACATTCAAGTTTCCTATTTTGTTTCAAATCCTACTTTTATTCTAATTAAAGTTTCTAAAACCTTATAAATACCCATCCAAATTTAGAATTAAGGGAGCTTGGTGGAGCCTAGTGGCAACCCTCTTTTGGGCATTCTTGAATATCAAGAGAGAGGATTCAACAATAGGAGATCAAATATTGCAATTTTCTCAAATGGTGTTTTATTCTTCCTTGTTATTCTTATATTCATAAATATAATTTTAGATTTTATTATTTTTATTATGAACTAATTTATTCTATTTGGGTTACGATATAGCCTAATAAATTCAGTATAGATTTTATGATTTTATGCCTTCAATTAAAATTATTTGCATGAGGAGTTGATATTATTGAACTTAATGCATTGGAAGCTTAATCATTTTTCAATTGATTTAGTGATTTATGCATGAACTTGAGAAAGAACTGTGTAAATTAAACCAATAATAATACAAACCGTGTGCTAGACTATAAGACCAAGAGGTAATTAACTCACATGTGGTAATGGAGGAAGAAAAGAGAGTTAGGAGCTTCCCCTTCTTAAGTTAATGGTTTCTATAGAATTTAATACTCATTAGTTTGTTTAAAATTATATAGAGATATAATTAATTTAACAAATAAGTGAATGAGAAAGCTAGTTAATTAATTTAGGAAAATCCGCTATCACATATAAT